TATGTGTTACACTTGTGCAGATTGGAGAAGAATACGAACTACAACTACTTTTTGGTCCGGGTTTTAAAACTCACTTTTGTAGGTATCATGAAGAGATTAATTTTTTTCTACGCATATCCGCAAAGAAGAAAAATACAAATGTGATCTAACGTGGGAGCTTTACTTTTTATCTGCTTTAGGTTGTGCTTTTCGATGTTCACTGTGCTGGTTGCTTCTTCTACCTTCTTGCTGATAGATATCCCGACCCCGAAAATACGTGGATTGGCTCAATACATCCCGATTTTCACAAGATGTCCCTTTGGGACCGATACATTATATCCATCTACTGGTCCATTGTCACAGTCACAACCACCGGATATGGGGATATACACCCAGTGAACACGGGCGAAATGGTTTTCGACGTCTTTTTCATGTTTTTCAACCTTGGGCTCAACTCCTATATAATCGGGAACATGACCAACATGATTGTCCAAGCAACATCTAAAACTAGGAAATTCGTAAGTATACATAGTTACATATGTCGAAGTTTAATTATATCTGTCTGTTTTAGTTGCTAATAATTGGGCATGTGCTTTTTTATTCGGATACAGAGAGAGAGCATTAGTTTGGCCTCGAACTTTGCGAAAAGGAACAAACTGCCACCGAGGCTGGAGGACCAGATGATAGCTCACTTGAGCCTTAGATACAGAGCAGATTCCGAAGGCCTGCATCAACAGGAAACTCTCGACGTGCTTCCAAAAGCAATTCGGTCGAGTGTTATGCATTTTCTGTTCTATTCCCTTGTTGAGAGGGTATATTTGTTCAAAGGGGTGTCCAATGACCTCCTTTTTCAGATAGTAAGTACCGTTAAAAATAGAATATGGATTCTCTCTCTGTCTATTTTTAAACCTGTTGTGTCTGTTTCATGATATTCTGTTAAATGTTTGCAGGTATCTGAGATGAAGGCCGAGTATTTTCCACCGAGGGAAGATATAATTTTACAGAATGAGGCGCCGACTGATATGTACATCTTGGTTAATGGGGCAGTGGTATATGGTCTCTCTCTTCCTATCTATCTGCTTGTACTATTTAAACGAATAAGTTAAGAAGGGTTTTTTTTTTTTTTTGGCTGTTTTTTTCATCTTTTCTGATCATTGTTTTCTCGATAAACAGGAACTTATATCACATCAAAGCGGGATGGAACAGGTAAAAGGAAAAACGATGTTCGTCATTTACTCATTTTGCTGAATTTGTTCATCCTCTATAAGGAATTTTTTTAACTTAGGTCGTTCGGGACTGCAAAACGGGGGATGCATGTGGTGAAATAGGCGTTTTGTGCTATAGGCCACAGCTTTTTACCGTTCGCACGAAACGGTTGAGTCAGCTTCTACGCCTGAACCGCACTTCCTTGCTGAATATTCTCCAAGCCAATGTTGGGGATGGTACCATAATCATGAACAATCTTCTTCAGGTAAAAAAAAAAAACAAAGTGAAGAACTCTAAATGTTAAATGAACTGCCATTTTTGTTCTTCGTTTTTCAGCAGTATATAATAAATTCCGTTTCTGCAGTATTTGAAAGAGAAAAAAGATCCCGTGATGCAAGCAATATTAACAGACACCGAGCACATGCTGGCCAACGGGAGAATGGATGTTCCACTTAGTCTCTGCTTTGCGGCTGCCCGTGAAGACGATCTTTTGCTGCACCATTTGCTGAGGCGCGGTTTAGACCCAGACGAGCTCGACAGTAATGGCCGCACTGCATTGGTAAAAACGTGCCATTACCCTCGACTCGATACCCTTTTCTATACACATTTCTTTTTCATTTATATATATTTTGAGTTTTTGTGTTTGTGTTTGTGTTAAATAAATCAGCACATTGCTGCATCAAAGGGGAGTTTAGAATGCATTCTTCTACTTTTGGACTATGGTGCAGACCCTAATAGAAAAGGTATCTTACCTACTAAATACTAATCCATTGCCTTGTTTATGAAAAAAATGACTTTTTTTTTGGGAAGATTCGGAAGGAAACGTTCCGCTTTGGGACGCGATACTCGGAAATCACGAGCCGGTGATCAAGATCCTCGTCGACAATGGTGCCACACTGTCATCGGGGGATGTGGGACAGCTGGCTTGCTTCGCCGCCGAGCAGAATAACCTCGAACTACTCAAGGAGATCAGCAAGCACGGAGGGGATGTGACGCTACTCAACATAACTGGCACAACTGCCCTCCACACGGCCATCTCGGAGGAGAATCTTGAGATCGTCAAGTTCCTCGTCGAGAAGGGGGCCGATATCGACATGGCGGACGTGCACGGGTGGACCCCACGGGCCCTAGCCGACTACCAAGGCCACGAGGCGATCAACGCCTATTTTCGAACCTTGGGTGGTGGTGGTGGGTCCCACCACGACGAGGGCCGCCCGAGTGCCGCGGGACCTGGCCCGGAACTACCCGACGCGCCGTACCTGAAGAAGTACTCGAGCGCGCCATCGATCGTGCCATTGGCAGCGATGACGGTGGCAGACGGCAGGGAAGCCGCCGCCGATGTAAGGATGAGCAATTTTCGGAACTCGTTGGCGGGGATAATAACCGCCGGCGGCGGCGGCAGCAAACCGCAAGAAGGTAAATAAACGAGCCTAAAATCGAGCCCGAGCTCTGCTCGTTTATCTCTAATAACGAGCCGAGTTCGAACTTTAATGAGCCGAGTTCGAACTTTAGGCCTTAACGAGCCGATCTCGAGCTTCAACGAGTCGAACTATAAAAAATTATATAAAAATTCTAATAGCAAACCGCAAGAAGGTAAATAAATGAGCCTGAAATCGAGCTCGATCTCGGCTCGTTTATCACTAATAACGAGTCAGTCGAACTATAAAAATTATATAAAAATTCTCTTTTCGGGCCTTAATGAGCCTTATGAACCGAGTTGTTAACCAAACGAGCTTTCAATGAGCTCGAGGTCGACTCGTTTATCAAACGAGTTGAGCCGAACTCGAGCCAGACTCATTTAATTTAACAATATGTTCAATAGTTGTTGATTTAACGAGCCGAACCGAACCAAACTCGTTTAATTTAATAGCAGATTCAATAGTTGTTGATTTAACGAGTCGAAGCGAGCCAAACTCGTTTAATTTACCAGCAGGTTAGGGAAAAAAAAGGTGACGTGTTGTGTAAAGTTAACGTGATCATGACACGTGTTATTATGCTGAAACTTTTATGTCGACTCGAAAGATCTTTGGCCAAACAATTCCATTCTTTTTCTTAATGTTTTGTTTATTTTGTCGTGCAGATGTACGTGCGTATTATTCGCCTTCGAAGGGAGTTGGCATGGCGCAAGAACGTGCTCGGGTGTTTGTGCGTTGTGCGGAGAGGGACGAGTTGGGAGGGAAGGCGTTGCTTCTGCCGGGAAGTTTCCAGGAGCTTCTGGATTTGGGGGAGCAGAAGTTTGGGGTTCAGGCAACAAAAGTTCTTACAAAAGATGGGGCATTGGTTGAGGATTTGGGTGTTGTAAGAGATGGTGATCATCTGGTTCTCTTCAGTTGATTTTGAGGAGTTTTTTAAGTTTTTAGTGTTTAACAAATTCAAGTGTATTTGTAGAAGAGGGAAAAATTTGTGTTTTGTTGTCTTATTTCTATCTATACATCAAAAGCTCAAAGTGCACTGAAGAATATAGAGGAGACTTGGAAACAAATTTTTTCTCTTCTCTTTCTTTTTTTTTTTTTTTTTTTTTTTTTTTTTTTTTTTTTTTTTTTTTTTTTTTTTTTTTTTTTTTTTTTTTTTTTTTTTTTTTTTTTTGGATGTGGTCTTTTGACATCATGTATTTAGTGTAGTGTTTTAATATATTTTATTTATTTATTTATTTTTTGGTACAAGTGTTTTAATATGTTATTCACATGCAAAATGTACATTTTTGGCATTAGAATGCCAAAAATATTTTTCAATCTACTTAGATATTATTTAATTCCTTACTATTATTGTTTATTATTTTCCCAATTTATATATTTTTTTTCACACTTTAGGAAGATGATTAGGTCTTATTACGGAACCATTCCGTCGGGATTTGTAACCAGTAGATCATACCATTCCATCGAGATTTGTAACCAGTAGATCAACTATTTATGACGGTTACATGATGATCTAACGGTTACAAATCCCGACGGATCTATGACGGTTACATAATGATCTAACGGTTTCAAATCTCAATGGAATGATTCCGTAACGGGTACGTAGCATTTCCCCACACTTTATATATAAAGTGATGTTTTACAGTTTTAATAAAAGTTGATGAAATTCTACGGTGATTACTTTCTCGTAACAAAAACAAGATAAAAGTTTTTTTGTTAAATTTATATTTATTTTCATACTGGTGATAAAAATAAATTAAATTAGATAACATGAAAACAAGAATACATAATCAATAAATAAAATAGAAAACATGAAAATAGAACGATTTGCATCCCTACCTTACAACAATTTTAGCAGAAATTATATCTGTATAACTTAAAATAATTTACTGATAACCAGTCATGGTACCATGCTAGTTGCAGAGCTTTATATGTATGAAAATCAAGATTCAAAATAAAATAAAAAAGCTTCACATTCCCTTGGCTCAAGAGTCAAGAGACCATCTGTTTCATCTCCTACATCTCACCAAAAAGAGAAAACAAATAAAAAGAAAAAACCCAGAAAAACTACTCATTACCCCCAAAAAAAAAGAAAAAAAAAAAAAACTGTAAGTAATCTCAAAAACACGATTTTTTAGCACGTAAAACCGGATATTCGAAGCTATTCTATGACATCAAATGGTCTCTCGATGCTACCACTCTTTCTTTGCAAACGATAAACTCCCGAGTCGAGTAAACAATAATTCTCCATTCTCAATACGGCCATTTTCACCTTCGATCATTCGAACATTTTATTGTACTTTCCTATGCTACATTTTGATCACAATACGAACAAGCGATAGATTTTACTTCTCGGCAAACGGTTTGGGGAGCTGGCTCGTTTTTACTATGAACATTCAATCACACCTCGTTCGATTCTGTTGGGAGAACCTGTAACAACATAATGCAATATGAAAAAATGTGAAAGCTACTCTTTTGAGTTTGATCTGTAATAATAATAACATAATGCAGCTCATAAAGTTTTTCCAAACTATTAGGGAAAAATAAATAAAATATAGAAACTACCCCATATAAGTCTTGATATGATTAATTCAAATAAGTTTTTTCCAAGCTATTTGGAGTTTCTGTATATGTAGTTTGTACACTAAAACAAATTAATTCTGTTTTTCTTTTAGCTTATCGAACCTGAAATTGTCGCTCGTTGAAGCTCATGGACCTATGCTTGAGTTCACCTCTACGAGTCGTCATCTCATCTAATATTTCAGCAGACGACAAATCGGGAGAATCCTCCTCACCATCATCACCATCACGTGTTAATTCTCCATCCTGCATTTTTTCGGAACAAAAAAACAAAAATAAAGCTTTTTTTTTTTCGGTGAAGGAAAAATTATGTTTAAAAGAACAAAGTAGTGTTACACGATGAGTAAGACTCCGAGCTCTGATTGGGTGCCCCACGATCTCTTCATACTCGGCAGCATCGAGCTCTTGAAGATGGTGAGGTGGAAAAAACTTCGGCAAAACGTGCTCTCGTATGGTTATCAAGAGAAAAAACGGCAATGGGAACAAAATACCGGCTATAGGTATCCACGTAATCCCAAAGCAAATAGCGAAATACACCAGCTGGAAAATCGTGAACCTTCGTATGTACTTAAACGGTACCGATTCCACATATGAAGCATGAAACTCCTCGATAACTCTGTAAATATGAAATGAAGGTTAATTATAATCTTCTTCAAATGTTGAGGTACAAAGTACAAACATGAGAAGCATGCATGAAACTTACTTAAAACGACGGCGTTGAGGTACAAACATGAGAAGCAGCCTCTCCCAGAACTGGTTGCCCGGGAGGCTATCGATCGCCATGTAAGCAAAATAACCCCACAAAACCGATGTGGGAATCATTTTGATTACCGGCATAGCACACACGGCGAGGCCCACGAGCACGGATTGCAAGAAGTTGCTTACCCTTTGCTCGTTGACTCGGACGGGCAAGTGCAAGTCGATGCACTTTTCAGGGTCAAATCGGTCATTTGCTTCTCCATCGACAACCACATCGTGCTTCAGGACAGCCTCCTTCAAATTCGCCAGTTCTTTCTCGACCGTGTGCTTCAAAAGGGTCAAAATGGTCATTTGGCTTATGGAATATAGTATGCAAAAGATTCAAACTTTTTAGTTTGTGATTTTATTTATGTTTCATATGTGCTTTTTCTTGTTACAATAAAATCACACTTCAAAAAACATAGTTTTTTTTTTCACTAAATAAGCGAAAAAAAAGTACTTACCGAAGGAGCATTTTCCATCTCGACAAAAACGGCATGCATTCTTCCGTATATTTCAGAGTGGCTCGCTTGCTGTTTCATGCCTTCCTTTGCACGTTTCACCATTTTCCTCCGAATCAACTGCAAATCGAACAAACATATTCATCAAAAATGTGTTCTTACTCGTATATTTTCGAAACATTAAGCGCAAAAAAAAAAGATAAAAAAAAAAGAAATTGCTAGAATCATCTTCGACCTGTCTCTTAAGGACTGCAAGACTCCTTGTGTGCATAGGAGACTGTGGAAGTACACCGTTCGAAGGTGGAATTCCGAGCAATCCACAAAGTAGAGTCTGATAAACACACCATAAAGAGTGCTAATTCACAATCTTGAATTATAACAAGTGGTTTTCTCTAAAACAAAAAAATCGAAAAATAAGAAAGAATTAAAAAAAAAAAATATCCGGTACCATGACGCCGAGTAAAAAGATGTCCCAATGGTAAGAAGATGGGTTTTTCAGGTTAAATTCCTTCGGCTGAGCCATCTGTGCAGCTACACTGTGATCAAAAAAATACAGGCCAGCTATCATCACTGCCGGTATAAAGGCTGCAAAAATATACCCCACCGATATTTTCCCCATGTCCTGCAAATTATGCATGAAAATGTAACAATCTTTTCGTGTTAAAATCGAAAGTTAAAAAACCGATTTACGGGTTTAGTACTTTGATCACAGTCCAATGGTACAATGATTTAGCTTCCCAAGGGAGTGAACCGATCAATCTCCTCGGGACGCCAGAAGGAACTTTGCCCGGTACACCATAAGATAATGCAGTCCAAATTACAATCATTAATGGTACCCCATAATCGGCTATAAAACTCCGAAAAAAGCCTGCACAAAAAAAAAAAAGGAAAAAAGATCAAAACTTTAGATTAAGTTAGTAAGAGCTTCGAAGTGAAATGCATTTTACGATTTTCTTTACCTGTACCATACCGCCAGGACCGAGCTCCTCTGCTCTTTTGGGAAGTTATAAGCACGCCGAACGAGAATATAACTGAGAGCAATCCATTTGTATAAAGCCACGAGAAATTGTATTGCTCTTCTGAGGCATTTTCGCCCTTTGGAATTTCGAATTCACTCACCACACCCTGTGAGTAGTTTTATTTTATTTTTTTCAAGCTCCAGCAGGCAGCAAAAAAAAAATTCTATAATTTTTTTTTCATATATATATTTTAGTTTAAACAGTTTCGACTTATGTACCTTGATGGCTTCTTGAATGAAAAGAACAGAGATCAACATGCCGAATAGCTCCCCAGCAACCCTCGTAAATCGAGTAATGATGGTACAAGCGTTAAATATGGCCAGAAGAAAGAGCAGCAAAGCAGTCCAAACACATACCCTATTTGTGAATCAAACCAAGAAATCTTAAGCTCAATTAAGCTAAAAACTAAAAATAAAAACAATTTTCGAATTCGTGCTTACCAAGCAGCCCAGGCTAAATATAGCTCGGTTCCTACACTTCTCTTGGCAAAGTTGTACAAGTAAGTGTACATTATAATGGTGGGCTCTGCAACTCCTAAGATCAACAATGGCTGTCCTCCGAAAATCGAATGGATTATCCCACATATAGCAGTCGAAACAAGTGTCTCGGCCGGGCTAAGCCTCCCATCTATTATTTCGGGAAAAAGATATGAATTGAATTTAAGATTTTTTTTAAAAAAAAAAGAAAGAAAGAAAAAAGTGCTATAAACAAAGGCATGCTAGAAATTCAAGATTGACCTGTTTCTCGACTTAATTGCTCCCCAAAGGCAATTACAGGAAGAGTCGAAGCAAAGAAAATGTACGCTGTTGGAGCTAAAATCCTGATTTGCAAATGGATATATGCACAGTAAGTTCAACAAATATTTCTTTGAATTGATGCTAAAAATAAACCTTGTTGTTTATAGCCTAATGATAAGATAACTCACAGTCACTTCTCATCATGGAAGAAAAATATCCACATAAGTTTACTTACTCCCTTCAGGTTTTGTGTTACAAAATTATCTGTGATTTAATTTTTCCAAACAAGAAAAAAAAAACGAAAAAGAATCACACCTTGCACCAGAACCGCACGTATCGAGCCAATCCTTCTTGTAGCATTTTAACCTCCCTTTAACATCATTTGCAATTCCTTTGAAAGGACTCTTTATTTGATCCATTGTGCGGGTTAATAGAACTCAAGCAGTTTAGGCTGCGATAAACGAACACAAACGTAAACGGCTCAGAAGATCAACGGATGCATTTTGAGCTAATAAACTGATACTATCTGAAGAAATAAAACAGGATAAAGATGATCTTCTTCATCATCTTTTAGCATCAGTATGAATAAAACACACAATAACTATACCTCAAACAAACCCATGATTCAAAAACACCTCAATTCGACCAAAAATGCAGAACCCATCAAAAAACAACCAAGGAACAGCATGCAGGACACAACACAAAACGAAAATCGACAATAAAAATTCGAAACTTTGGACAACGAACGAAACCCAAAATGAACCCAAATCAAGAATCAAGAACGAAAAAGATACTCAATGTGGGAGGCTTTCAAACTCCCTCAAACAAAAAATAAGCCATTTTAGCCACCAAGGACTCAAAAAACCATCAAATTTAAAGTTTAAACGATTATCAATCAAGAACACAGCAAAAAAGAGTGTATCACAATCACACACTTCAAAAATTCCTTCATTTTCATGACAATAACAGTACCTCAGACAAAACCCACGATTAAAATCACCTCAATTTAAACAAAACAAAAAATGCAGAGCAGCCCATCAAAAAATAACCAAGGAACAGCATGCACGACACAGCACAAAACACGAAATCGACAATAAAAATCGAACCTTTGGACGACGAACGAAACCCACAAGGAACCCAAATCAAGATTAACGAACAAACAAAAGAAAAAAGAAAAAAAAAATCAATGTGAACGGCTTTCAAACTCCCTCAAACGTACGACGATGATCCGAAAGAAAAGGAAGAAAAAGGTCGGCGTCATGCAAGATTATTTTTTTCTTCCGGCAGGCAAAACCGCCGCCGGAGAATGAAGCAAATAGGAGATAATATTTGTATAGGAAATTATAAAATTTGTATAAAAATATCCACTTTTTTCTCTCTTTTTTTTTTGGTTTTGTTTTCTGTACTGCGTTTTTACTTTTTCAGCTCGTTCCTATTTTCTCGCACAGCCAGTTATTGATATTTGTGATGATTCTTTCTGGAATACAATATGTATATATATAATTTTTCGAGCTTCGAGGAGAGAGAAAGAGACGGGGAGATTTAGAGAGAGAACACGAAAAATGTGTGCATGTACATTTGCAGAGGAGAAAAAAAAACACAATTCTTGATTAATTTTATGGGAGAAAGCGAAGGCGGCTGCTTACAGTGATTATATATATCAAAAATATTTTATTATATTAAAAATAGGTCATAAATTCTATTTTTCAAAAAAAAAAAATAGATACTTTATGAAGGATTATATATATATTTTTTTTTGTGTTCCTTTAAAAAAAAAAGTTTTTTTCAAAACAAAACCTGAAAGATAACTAAACTATCAAATCGGGGCCTACAAGATTTAATAGTGTTATGGGTTTTGTTAATTCTAGGATTTAGTTTGATACTTTTATAACCTTTTAAGTCCCAAATTGAGAAAAAAAAAATCTTTCAGGTCCCGATTTGATAGCTTACTCATTTTTCAGGTCTTGTATTGAAAAAACTCCAAAAAAAAATAGTAGTATCTAGTATGGATAGCAAAAGTCCAATTTTTGGTTCTCTAAGTTGGTCATTGTTCAGTTTTTGTACCCCAACTTTTCCCTCATAAAAAATAGTTCATTTTCGTCAATCTTAGTACAGTAATCCCGAGGAGTCGAATTACGTGATGACATGAAAAATTGTAATTCTTCCATGTCAAAGTCCTATCCATCCACGTTGATTCAATCTTTGTCCACGTTATCACGTACTCCGACATTTCGGGATTACTGTACTAAAATTAAAAGAAAATTGTAACATAGTGGACACTTTTTTATGAGGGGAAAGTTGGTGTATCAAAACTGAACAATGGTCAATTTTAGAGGACCATTTTGCTAATATGAATATATGTTGAAACATTATGAATGATAGTTAGGTTGGCCAATATATATGGAAAAAAGGTGAAAAAGAAAATGGAAAAATTTATATATGTATTTCATTTTTTCTTTGCTTATATAATACTTGGTCAAGAATTATTTTCAGTTAATGGAAATTCAAACAAGCTTATTGTCAAGATTTGTGAAATTTCATAAATGAAGATTTATCAAATGAAATATAAAAAATATTAAGATGTACATAGAAATATGGGTAATAGTATTATGTATACAAGTGTATAGATTATATTGTGCTTAGATTTGTGCAATTACAAGGAGCAAATCCACATATATATAATCTAAATTATTTGAAATAAACTTTATTTCCCTGTAAGTAATATTTTCCTATATATACAAATACTTTTTTTTAGTTTCATCTTTAAACATTTATATATTGATTGATATAAATATCTATTTGGTAAAACTTTATATGCATTTAATAGTAAATGTAAATACTTTTGCCTTTTTAGCTAAAAACTAGTATTCGACATGTGCATTTGCACAGGTATAAATAAAGTGAGTAATGCTATATAATGATTACTCAAATAAAGTATTGTGAGTTATTTGTATGCATATAATGATTAATAATTTTTTCTTGCACTTTTTGCAGGCCAAATTTACAATTAAAGGAGTTGAAATATATATTTTTTAAACTACGTTTATCATATTGGATGTAATGTATATTTGGTATGTACTTTTTTGTGAATTATTTATTATTTATTTAGCAATTTCAAATACATATTTTCCAAAAGAAGTTAATTTAAATGTAACCACAACAATAACATCTAATCACATTAAATAGTCAACACATTATATGATCAGTTGTAAATAAATT